ATACGCGGAATCACTAAAATGGCCATATCTCGCGAGTTTATGGCTATCAGCCCGAGATATGAAATTTATATTTTTTATTTGGCCTAAACTACATGATTAGTGGCTTTTTATTAAGATATCGGTCGCCAAGCTCATACCGTTCGCTCGTAAGTATTATTTGTTAATATATAGTAATTAAATAGAAGGGAATAGATAGGGCAACAGATCGGATGCTTTTTGGATGCTTTTTCATAGTTTTGAGTAAAATAATGACTATTACAACTATGTGTTTATTTTAAAGCATTAGTTGTGCTATGATTTTCTGACTAATTCATGGTTTTTGTATAGTCTGCATATTACATATATTGTATATGACTCATTTTTTGGTTGCTCTAGAAATAGAACAAATAATATCTTAAAAATAAATAATTTTAATGTTATAAAATAAAAGTAAATAAACAATATTAAAAATACCATTAAAACACATTATATTCAATAATGATTTAATTCATTAAGATTATAATTAATATCCAAGTAATACAATATAAGGTTAATACTAACTTAATATGTTACCCTTAAATTAATTTTATTAAGAATGACATATTGTCGGAGAACTTAAAGTTCAGATATAATGATAATTCCTACAAAAGATCAATAAAAGATGAAAACATGGTATATAAAGTAGAGATTAAAATCTCAGTATCGGTTTCGTGAAACAAAACCGATATCGAAACTGAAACTAATACAAAACTGAAACTAAAAATTATGATTTTTTCAATCACTATTCTGGATAAGAATTGTAAAAATGTCACAATATGTTATATTTTAAATGATATTTATTATTAAATTTTCTTAATACATATATTTTAAACAATTATTGTAGAATATAATGCCAATCAATTACATTTAGTATAGCAGACTAAACCGCCTTTGCCCTGAACACATACCCGCCAACATCCACCATAATAAGTTTGGTCAACCGATGGCTTGTGTTGTTCCCCATAACATGTGCTGCCATTGATGTGATGGTAAAATTGTTGCTCCGGTAGGTTAACAGTGGGTAGACTCACGCAAACTGTGGCCAACAATCCCATCATTACAACCATTGATATCATTTTATCATCCATTTTGAGTTTTGATTCTTAAAAATGTTTGTAACAATTATCTAGTAATAGAAATTTAATTAAATTTAATATCTATGGCTACTTTTTGAAAGAAAACTTACCATAAGTTTTATTCGAGAAATCAATTGTTTATGTTTTAGAAAACCTATCACTGTATTTATATACAAAAATAAAATCCGTGTACAGAGTAGTAGCAAATAGTACTTTGTATAAAATTCTATTTATTTAATTATTTCATTTTGTTGCACATTTTCTTTAGGTTTTAATGAATAATCATTTCACGTTTTAGTTATTTAACCAAGAGTTAATAAACTTATAGTACAAATATTGTAACAAAGTAATAAATTAGCTAATGTGTTTATACTTCTACTGATTATTATTTCACAAATTTATGACAATAATAATTTAATTAAGATATGTTAAGTAAATAACCATACTTATTCAATCTCAATTCCATCCTGGTCAAAACACCTAACACATTGTCATTAATAAACAACACTTTACATATTGTTAGCATCATTATTCTTTACGAGTGATGTTTTTCATATTTAAAAAAAAAACTTTTATCATGATAATAAACAATAATCTTCAATCAATAGTAAATAAATTATTAAAGAATTTATTAAAACATTAAACAATTAATTATTCCAACAATAATTAAGAGCATTTTTCATAGCAGATCCGTCCGTTTTGGGCTTCAAAGCACAGGTGAATACAGGCTCTGAAATGATTGTCAGCATTACAGGGCAGGTGTGGACCCGAATAACATGTGCTACTATTTAGATGATGGTAAAATTGTTCCTCCGATACGTTGAATGTGTTGCACAGACATACAGTGACCAACAGTCCCGTCACTGATATATTAAACACGGATTTTGTATGCATTTTGGATTAAATTTTAATATAAAATATATATGATTTTTGTTAACCAATAGTATATACAATATATAACATTCAATAAAATATTTTTACCAGAATCTAATGATTTTTATGTTTATAACTATAATTTTAAATTTTTATTTTTATTAAAAATTATTATTCAATAAAATTAATGATTGACTTATTGTTTTGAAACAATAGTTTATTTTAGTTTTATACTTTAATAAAGTAATTCATATAATAATATTGTATTGTTATGTCATTAAAGTAGTAAAAATTATTAATTAATTTTAAAATCATAATACAATACAATAATTAAGTTTTATATAAAGCTTTATAATACAATTAAAAATATCATTAGCATGATAAGTTGGATGCTTGTAATTTTACTTTATCTATGCAATATTATGCTGTATTATGCAATATGCTGGTATTCATTATTAATTCTAATTGTTATTGATTTAATTTTAATAACTATATATTCATCTTTTTATAATATACTTGAAATACAGTATTGTAATTATGAAATTATGTAATTTAATATAATTTTATTTTTATAAATCATAGTTAGATAATCTTAAATGGTTTAAAAATCGTCATAAATAAATTATCATATAAATAATTTACTGTTTATCATACTGTATTTATTATTAATTATAGTAATTCAGACACATATCCAAAAGCAAACGTATAGCATCTGAGCTGTGTAAGAACATTGATATTTATAAGTACAGCCGACCATAGGTTTGGGTGAGTGTCCGGCATAACAAGTGCTGCCATTGATCGCTGCCATCAACTGATCCGAGTCTTCCTCCACAGGAGTCGCCCAAACACTGGCCATCACTGCAAACATCACCAAAACTGACACCAATTTTGCGTTCATTTTGCTCTTGATTTCAATGAATTGACAATTTTAGCTAAAATTAAAATTATGTTACTCAATTAATTTTGTACATGTTTAGATGTGATACTTGCTAGTTAGAATTTATAAAGTATCCTTATAAGTTATAATGATTATTATAGTGCTATTTAATAATTTGATAGTTTGTATTCAACTTTTATATAAAATTCAGATCCGTTTCGACTCTAAAACTAGTCATAAAATTAGGAATTAATAAGGATTTAAATTATTTACAAATTTATTTCATTAATTAAATATAATAATTGTTTAATTCTTGCTTTTTGTTAATGTTTAATACTAAACAATTGCATGTTTAGACGTCAGTTAATGTAAATAAATAAAAAACTTACTAAAAATTATCAATAAATAAATAAATAGATGATAAGTACTAAAACTTATGTAATTAATTGATAAAGTGTTGCAGATATCAGACAACCCTTTATTACAGATTGTAATTTATATATTTTTAAAAGTGGATAATTCATGACAATACAAATCAACAAAAATTAGATCTAACTCTAGTTTTGTACTCTGTAACTTTTTTATATCACAGCTTTATTTATTAATTATTATCTTAAAGAAATGCTAATATAATATTTATAAATTGATTAATTTTAGTTTTATTAATACACAATTCTATAGATCCTTTTGGCTATTAATAACAAATAATTTTCATTACAAATCATGATTTTGGCTAAACGTAATAATAGGATACAATGGGGGTATATATAAGACTCGAGTTTTGAATAAAATTTATAACACAACTAAAACATTGAATTATTTTTAAGTAACAAATAAATTATTTGAAATAATAGTTAATTACCAAGTAAATTATTATTTAATATTCATATAATTTTTTTGTTACAGATTTTCAAATCATTATTTAAAATAATCAAACTTATTGTAATAATGAACGCAAAATTGGTCTGTATTTTGGTTTTGATGTCGGGTTTGTTGGCGACCAGTGTTTGGGCCGAAGTGTCGGTGCAGTCAATACAAGAGCAACAGTTTTACGCTAAACTCAATGGCAGTTATTGTTACGACAGTGCCGTCAATGCGATAACCGGTGCCAATGATATCAAACGCTTTTGTTGGTACGTCTGTATCGGACGAGTTTGCTATTGGAAATGCAAATAAACCATCTTAATTTGGACACACCGCCTTTATTTAACCAACATACAATTAAGTTTTATTAAATATATTTTATATTAAATTTATGTTTCTCTAATTAAGTAAAATTAAAAATTAAAAAAATAACAGAAATATAAAAGATTTATTATGATTATCAATATTTTTAATGTCAAAATTGTATTTCAATTTTAAAATTAAGGTATTTTATAATTATATTGAATTAATAAATTATACATAATAAAATCCTAAAATGTGTAATGAACGACTTTATAAATTGAAAACATTATCCTGGTTAGTTTCAGTTCCAGGATATATCATTAATATTTAAACGTATTCTGTGCAAGGTAAGATACAGCAGATTCAATGTAGGTTGGTTATTTTAGGTAACAAACTTTTAAATAGCATTTTAAACATTTTGAACAAAAAACCATTGGGATCGTGTAATTTAAATAGTGACCAAAAAGTACAGTACAGTGCCTTTCTCATTAAAACTTTAACTATTTATTATATAAATACAATACAATGCATTTAAAATGTTTATGGTCGGCATAATTGGCAAATAATTGTCATAAAATATGGTATTATTGTTTAGATAAGATAAAACATACGAATCATTGCAATAAATGGTGAATTGTTGCGATTGTTTTGTAAATGAACTGTCATGATAAAATATCTTACAAAAATATCGTTAGATATTATATCTATGTGTGATAAAACATGTTGCTATTTTTATTGGATCTGTGTTCCCATGAGACGAGGTGGCCGAGTGGTTAAGGCGATGGACTGCTAATCCATTGGGCATTGCCCGCGTGGGTTCGAATCCCATCCTCGTCGGGAAGTTGTATTTTTTGTTTTTTTTTATTTAAATAAATATTTTGCAAATCTGTATCGCAAATGTTACCGTAATCTGAATTACTCATAAGGCTATGTTTATAAATTATACATTAATTGTTTTTAATTATTTTCATTTTAATTCATTTTTATAACTATGATAATTTATTTCATTCATATAATGAAAATCAATTTGATTGTTAAAATACATGATAATAATAAGGAAAATAATTTAATAGTGTAATAGATGGCCTGAAGGTTGGCCCGAAGGGACTGAAGGTACCGGTGCTCTCATCAGACAGATCTCATTTGAAGTGCATATGATTTGAAGGTCGGATTCATTATAATGTTTACCATAAACTCGTGCGAAGGTCTTATCAGTTTTGCTGATTGCCTACTGAGTATGCATTCAATGGTTTAAATGTTACTTTATTTCACAACAAAGACAATGTGTTTGAAATGAGTTAAAAATGTCATTTTTAACAGTGATATTTAATTATGTGACCGATGATATATGGACCATAATTATTACCCTGTTCATCGCGTTCGGTGTTTATAAATTGGTTAGACTATACGCGTGTGTTATACGACTGCCTCCCGGACCCATACCTCTACCACTAATAGGCAACCTATGGATATGTTAGTACTTTATATATTATTTTATGTTATTTAAATATTAATTAAGATATTCAATTAGATGTTAATTAAATATAATAATAATTTTAATTTTATACTGTATTATTAATTATTTCTATATTATAATCTTGATAATAAATTTGTTTGTAAACTTATCAGGGATAGGAAACAAGTTACATATCGATGTTAAGTTTGGAGAGTTATGCAAAAAATACGACCCGGTGTTCACATTATGGATCGGACACATGCCGGCCGTCTTCATAAACGACATCGATTTGGCCCGAGAGGTGTTTCGCAAGACTGACTTTGCCGGCCGTCCGGCCAGTAGTTATACAAGTATGCGATCATACATTTATTGCCACGTTATGTTTAAAATAATAAATGGTTATTTTAACCAAGGTACTCTGTTTTCCAACGATGAGTACACGGATATAGTATTCGCCGATTTTGGCCACAAATGGGAAGCCCTAAGACGTGTCGCTCATTCGGCCGTACAGTTAGTTAATAAAAACTGTTTGAATAAACAAATAAATTTAAATGCATTATATTTTGTGCATCCCATAGAAAATATGCGGCGAGTGATAAACTAATGTATACGGCGGCCGATTGTGTCGATTACACCATTAAGACAATAGTGGACAGAGAGGGCATTGATAAGCCGTTTAATCCAATACCTTATATTCATCACATGTTGGTTAACATACTGTCCGCCAGCGCTTTCAATAAAAGGTTAGTTGCATTAATTTAGTTGTTATTTAATTTAGTTTTGAGCAAATTGTTCTATGAATAATATTTTGGTGTTAATTTATACAACTAGGTAATCTATAAATAGTATAAAACACAAAAACACTAATGTATTAATTTTATTTGAAATAAATTATGTTTAATTATAATTATCTTACATTGTGTAAATCAATATCATTTATTTTATTCATCAAAATTTGATAAATTCAGTCAAGATAATATTACTGTATTTAAGGCATTATATTCTGGTTGTGTTGATACTAATTGAAACATTATTGTTGTGCCCAATGAATGACCAGACTTTCTAAACATAATTAGATTTTTAAAATAATTAATTATCAACATTAAATTTAATAACTTTTAAAT